CAACCGGAAAGCTTCCAGAGTCTTGCGTGGTATGGCATTTAAGCCTCGAAACCTCGACATGGAAGTTCTACGGCTTAGGGCTTAGGGACTTACTTGCTGGTTAAGGTTTAGGATTTAGGGTTCAAGGGTTTAGGGTGTAGAGAGGTTCAGCGTCTATTGCACCACAAGTGTTCGGGACTATGTATACTCAGCTTTGATTACGGTATACTATACCAATCTGTATCCCCGAACCATTCTCCGGAACCGTGAAGCCCGAGAGACGAATCTTAGAACTACGGTTTAGGATTTGGGGTTTAGGGCTTAGGCCCTAAATCCCATAATTTGTGGAGCACCTCTTTGTAAAACCCTGAAAAGGAACCCTTAGAAGGAACCCTTAAACAGAAATCTTAAAAGGACCCCGAATAGGGAATCCCCATAAGGAACCCGTATGGGGTTCAGGACGCTAAACCTTAAACCCCAATGCCCCCGTGCCTTGTCCACGTGTCGCCTGGACCTCCGCGCGTTTGGTAACCTGCCCCCGCAGCCTGTGGGCACAGAATCACAATTTACAGGGTTTAGGGCTTAGCAGTTGGAGTTGTCTTGGGGTTGTTGAAGGTTTATGCCGGTGAACCGTGGATTACTAACATTTTTCGTCATGTTTGTTGGGATCCATGGAGCAGATGTACACACCTTCAGATATGGAGCTTTCTATGACAGTCCAACTTTGCAAAGCCGTGCACCCAAAGGCACTCCTGGACAGCACGTCAACGCTGAATCGCTCATGAAAGGAGCTCTACTTTAAACCCCTAACACCCAGACCCTGAACCCCAAGGCTGTCTATCCCTATCTATCCCAGTTTCTACCATGTTATAATATCGATCTACATTCTGAACCCAACTTCACGGAACAACTATGCAATATATCTCAAAATATGGAAAAACACCTCCTCCGGCGGCGCTCCGCTGGCGGCCGCTTTCCCCCAGCGCCGGCCCATCACAAGGCCCACGGTAGGTTCTTCTCTAAATTTAAACCAACTGATGCATCTAGCATCCTTGCATGAGCATACATACCATGATGTCTACATATATACATATTTACACACGAGTGTGTGTACATGAATGGATTGTGTGTGCTTACGTTGGTTACTATAGAATGCTTCTTCTCTAAAGTCTAATAGGTTGAGGGTTCCAGGGGTTTGGTTTTTTGGGTTTCAAGATTCGGGCATTTAGTGTGTGTGGGTTTGTGCGAACTGGGTTTTGAAGTTGGGATTCACGGTCGAGGGTTGGGTACCTTACGCTCCAAACCATAGAACCATAAATTAATAACCTGTAGAGAACCGTCGAATCTTACGCACCCCAAAAGCTTTATGAGATACTAGGCTCGGAGAACACAGATGTGGTCTGAGGCAAATGCCAAGGGCTGCAAGTGGACATGAATCAAAGGAGGCCTGAATAGTAACTTCGTAGCATCGTAGTGCGATTGTGAGGGTTGTGCTATACCAGTAGAGGCCCCCCAATAGCAGATAGCAACACTTAGGACACGGGGCTTTACGTCCCCTTACAATCATGGAGCCGGATGGGGGGGGAGGGGGTGATATCCTTGTACAAAGCTTATGCCTTTGTCCTTTTGGGGGTCCCATTGCACCTAATAGAGTGCCGAATATAGAACCCATAGGGAACCTGCAACAAAGTAGGTTTTGGTACGGGAATAGGAGCCCAAGCCCTGAACCCTGAACCCTAGGCCATGAAGGTAGTGCTATACCCAAATCCCAGACTTTCGGGGCTTGCGCTTCAGGAGACCCGCAGCTTTGCAGCTTCAAGGCTGAGAGGTTTGCGGTTTAAGGTTTAAGAAATTTAGGGTTTACAGGGTTTAAGGAGTTTAGGGTCTCGGGTTTACAGAATGTACGGTTCAAAGCACGTAGGGCTTTAGGGATCAATGTCCAGGATTTCGGACCGTGTGGTTTAGGTTCTAGATTGTTACCTGAAACCCGAAACCCCCAACCGCAAGCCCACAAGGGTAGCCCTACAGAACCACAAGAAGCACCCTATTCCCCACAAAATGCAGAAACCCCGGATTCAAACGAATATCCTATACTGCCCACTTCCACAAGACGGAAGCGATGACAGCAACACACTGACGAGCTGCTTCTCGTGGCACGGAATTGCGGATTCTTACAGCCTCCCAGTTGGCGCCTTTGAGCAGGCTCTTCATGGATCCCAGTGCTGAAGTCACGCACCCTTCTTGAGCAGTTCCCGGCGTTGAGGGACGGACGTCGGAGCTGGAAGGGTCGCGAGCCTGGAGAGGGCCTTGCATGTCGACACCGGGAAGCCACCAACGCTGTAACAGCTCAATACCATTCAAGATCCTTGATCGTGGTCCGTCGTCTGGTGGCTTTAACGCAATGTGACCCAGTGCAGCACAACCCAACTCGACGAAATTGTTGATTGCTAACTACTACCTGCAAAACCAATTAAGAGCCACCAAGCTTCAATGCTAGAGGCATCATTCCTCAGGTGTCACATGAACTGCCGCGCATTGTACGGATGCAGCATCAGCCCCAAAGAGCACGGATCCCAGGCCCAGGGCTTCACCAGTGCTGGCCTTCCGAAGGTTCGACGGGGCAACCTGATTGTTGGACTTGGGCACGGGGGATGATGATGATGCCGATGATGACGAAGTTGATGTTGATGTCGATGTTGATGCTGATTTCGATGCTGATGCTGGTGACGGTCACGGTCGGGGGTGGCGGCGGCGGTGGTGGTGGTGTGGGGTCGGCGGTGGTGACCCAGTTTGAACGCGCTCTTGCCAAAACTGGCGGCCGCAAAAACTTCTACGATCCTCGCAGCTTCACATCTTCGAGCGCTGTCACACCGGTCACACAGGCTTCACTCACGTTTCCGTCATGGCGCAGGAGACGTAGGCCCACAGGAACCCTTATAATCCTTCGCATCGTAAAAACCCTTGCAGAAGCCTTACAGATCCCTATAAACACGTAGGGGTCGTAACAATTAGATTCGGGTTCTTGGGCATAGCATGCCATGATTGTGTTAAAAGATATGAAGGAAGACTATTGCTAAGAAATCCGAACCCTCAACTAGTTTACATCATCTTCCATCCGGAACCTGTCAACATCTGCTCGAAGTCTTTTCAAGAACGAACTTTTCAAAAAAAACCCAAGCAAGGTCCTTCCAAGAACCCGAAAGCTTGGCAAGCCTGGTTGCCATAAGCTGCAATACTTACAACATCTTACAACCTAAGCACTATAGGCTCGCATCTGACCTTCTCTTCTCCGATGGAATTTAGGTTTCGAGTTTACGGATCAAGACTCCTAAACCCCGCCAGAACTAAGGTTCGCGCTTAGGAACTTCATCGATCTTACTCTTTCCATGATATGTAGCAGACAACATGCCTTTCCTCACTCTAGTAGCCGAGGCCAAGTGAAGTTCAGTCATAAGTTAACACCTAGTGAAGTCTTAAACCCTAAACCCTAAACTCCCTAAACCCTAAAGAGCGCACATGCCTCATGCCCGGCATCTGGCTGCTGACCGCGCTTTGCTGATCCCACCCCTCGGGGCGGTCAAGAAGAAGCTGCGGCATTTAGGGTTTGGGGTTTAGGGGTTTAGGGCTTAGGGTTTAGGTTTTTTGGGTCTCGGTCTAGGGTTTAGGGTTTAGGGGTTCAGCCGTTTAGGGGTTTAGGGGTTAGGGGTTTCGGGTTTAGGGGTTTAGGGGTTTAGGGGTTTAGGGTTTACGGTTTAGGGTTCTTGGGCTGTTGGGTAGTTTGTGGAGGGTATCTTAGCGGCAATTGGCGACTAAACAATTTCGATCTACAAGCAGGGCTGTTGTGACGGTTGTTTCAACATCAGATGCTTGATAATCAGTCAGGTGGTTGGTGAGTGGGAACTCTGAGTTATGGATGGTTGAACTAACTTGGTAGTGCTGTAATGTTTGGGGGTTGCGATCTGTTTGAAGCTTGGTTCAGAATGTAACAACTTCTCCGCGGCACGGTATAGAAGTTTCGGATTCGGGGAAAAGAGACGTGAGTGCAAGGGCCTCTTGACGTACTTCAACCGTACACCACTTCATTCAGCCACAGCCTCATGCCCCAAAGCTCCACGTACCTACATCTAGTATATACTTAGGCCTGAAAAGAGGGCATACGATATAGGTACGTTGAAGGGTTTTGGCTTGATTAGAGTCTACCCATAGGCCCCTAAGTAGTTCCTTCTTGGGATTACCTTACAGGATTCTAAATATAGACCATAAAAAGGAGCTACTTAGGGGCCTATGGGTAAACCCTAAACCCCTAAACCCCTAAACCCCTACACCCTAAACCCTAAACCCTAAACCCCTAAACCCCCAAACCCTAAACCCGAAGCCCTAACCACCGAGTCGCCCCACTTGGGTTGTGGCTTAAGGCTTCCAGGGCAGGTCATGGGCCATTTCGGGCCCCATGCAGCAGGCCCTCTCGGGCCCTGCTTCGTCTTGGAACGGGCCCTTTTCCTTGCTTCCCCCAATAAGCCGGGGAAATGAAAGGGTTAAACTTTCAGATTACTACTAAATTAAAAAAAAACCACCAAAAACTTCAAAGGTTGGGCATTGGGGAACTAAGTTTCGGGCTTAATGCTCAGCCTAAGCGAGTTTGGAGCTTTGGACTGGGGCTCCTGATGACCAGTGGAATCTAGTACTTTTTCAGGTGGGTACGTAGTTACCGTTATAGGAGCCTTATAGAAGGTCTATATACCGTATGGAAGCCTGCAGAATTCCCGTCTTGCTGAAGGATGGTTGAATTCCTCCCCGTTAATTTGTTCTCTCAAGCACTGAAGCTTGAACGGTGGAGCTGAGCTCCAAAACGTGACACGACTGACATGTCACTGCATGCCTAGGCTAAAGCCATCTAGATGGCCCTGAAGGCCTACTCCATACAGCTCTTGAGGTAGTTCAGAGAACATCACAACATGCTGTCTGTTGAGTGAAAAAGAATTCGCGAGCCATGTTTTCTTCCCGCCTCTGAGTGACTGAAGGCTGTACTACAAGATTTGGTTGGCATTACAGATGAACCCCAACAGTTACGACGATGGGGATGAACAGGTTATGAGCCCAAACGTTACCGGAGATCCAGGTATGAGAAGGACGGTGACTCCGACTCCTATCGTAAACGGTGTGGACCCGCCGCCAGGTGGACACCTTGATATGGATGGTGAGGTCACTGGACCTAGAGTTGAGTCGACGTCGCCTTCTATTTCAGCCCGCCCAGCCCACTCGACGGCTGGAGTTGTGGGCCGGGAATCTCGAGCGGCAACAGCGGCTGCTCCGAAGGCTCCCAGGTCGGCGAGTGATTTTCTTCAGACATCAACTGGGAGTGAAAGAGGAGTCCCAAGTGATGGAGCTCTTCTGAATGAGGCTCAGGATCGTACTGGAGTACACTCCCAACCACTGGGATCAACCACTGGTGGCCTTGGTCATCATGCGCTGGAACAGAGGCAACCTAGAGCAAGTGACAGCGTCGAGTACGCCTCAGTCGCGTCTTCGGTGACGAGACGGGATTTGCAACGGGGTATTCCTGCTGAATCACAGGTGCCAGGCACTCCTTTGTTCGACATGCACACGATGGAGAGGTTGCAGCAACTCCACGCAGCTGCTCCTCAGTTGCTGGGTTCAAGTCCTGTGGTATTGCCTCCGAGACCTCCGTCGACCACCTCGAGTGACATTCAGGCTGAGGTGCGCCGGCAACTGAGTGATGTTGTGGCGGTATATGAGGAGGAATCACGGAGATTGAGGTCCCAGGTTGAGTCTTTGGTTGCTGAGAATTATGAATTACGTGTACAGAATCAGTATGAGAATGTACAGAATAGGGCAGAAGGAGCGCGTCATTGGTTGGGGAATCAAGGTGGGTTTCCTAGTTTTGGCTGGTTAGGTCGGGGTATAGGCTCTATCATTGGAGGAGCGACGCCAGCACTTTCAAGGGCCTTGGATTTGGGTCAGGAGCCTCATGAGGTTTCCTCCACTCACCCTCCTCGCCGATGGACTTCGTGGGTCACTCCTCAGGGTGAAGAGCAAAGCCCAGTGCCTCCACCGCCTAGGCCAGCTTCTGAATCATCACAGGTGCATGAAGGGGTACGTGCAATTCCGGCTCCACCTGTCCCGAAGCCATTTGTACCCCCACCCCCGTTGCCGGTGCAGGTGCCTGAGGCTACCCTGGTTACCGTTGATAATAGGGGAGAAGGGTTTCATAGAAGGGACGGTACCAGTGCTGGTTACCTCCGAGGTGAAGAGCAGCCTGTGCGCGGAGTTTATGGTGATGGTGTAGCTCCTGAGCCCCAGAATAGACCAGATGATGTTATGAATGTTGTGTTGAAGGGAATGGCTCAGCTGCAAGATGTGGTAACCGAGCTTTCGTCGTCTCCTAAGCAGGGTGAGAAGCCTGAGGCCATTAAGCCTGGAGTTAACACATTGCCAGACTTGCCACTCCCAGGTCCCGAGAACTGTCTACTGTTTTCGGATTGGATTCACAATTCGCGGCCCCCCTTGTCGGACATTTCGGATACAAGTGAAGAACTGTGGGAAGGTATCTTGGTTGAGGCAGGGGAATGGTACAGCAACTATCTGAAGCTTGATCCTTTGAGTCGATTGGTTTCGAAGCCTGTTCCGTCGGAACATTTGAGCCGCCCTCGATGGGCACGCGTGTCGAGGAGAATAGAAACGATGATCTTGGCCGCCCTTCCACAGGCTGTGAAGCAGGAGGTAAGCGCCTCGCGGGTGAATGGACTGTTACCTTTGGTTTGTAGACTCTATGTTGTCTATGCTCCTGGCAGCCTCTCGGAGAGGGAACTTGGACTTAGGCATATCCAGGAGCCGCCGGCTTGCTCAGGAGTAGCAGAGACCATAGAAGGCCTTAGGAAGTGGAAGAGGTGGTGCGTGAGAATGTCTGAGTTGGGTGGGACCCTCCCAGATGCAGCTCTTCAAGTTAGAGCCCTTACCAAGCTGACAAAGGGTGCTCTTCAGGGTCATCCAGACATTTTCTTCAGAGTGAACTTAGTCCGTCATAATCTGCAAGTTGATGTAAACCCAGATCAGGACAAGGTTCATAAGCTGCACGCCCAGTTGTTGAGTGAGTTTGAAATGATTGGTCATCGGACCACTGCAGCAAAGGACCAGGACCGAGCGCAAGCTGTTCCGAGCCCTCCACCTCAGGTGAAGGTCAAGGGTGTTGAGTTTGCCGAGGCTCAGATTCCTGGACCCAAGACCCCTAAGACTCCTAAGCAACCACCTAAACCGCCTCCAACTGTGAAGCAAGGATCTCCCGACGTAGCATCGGCGCCCAAGACACCGTGTACTTTCTACACATCCCCGACCGGGTGTAAGAAGGGAAGTGACTGTAATTTCGAGCATAACTGGTCCTCGATTCCGTTTGAAGACCGTAAGGGCCGTTGCAAGAATTGTGGTGCTAAAGGGCATAAGTCTTCTGAGTGCAAGGCAGGTGTAAAGGAGGGTGAAGCAAAGGGAAAGGGAAAGGGAGGTCCGAAGCCTTCCCCTCCTCCTCCTAAGGCTGGTGGTGAGGCTACCATAGCACAGGCCTCGACACCTTCAACTCCCGCAACCCAGGATTCTCAACAACAGATAAAGTCAATGCTAGCCGATGCAGCCCTCATCCTACAGCAGGCCATGCCTTCTAGAAGCACGGTCCCAGTTGAACAACAGGGTCATGCCTCTGCACCCACAGTCACTGGACAGGGAGCCCCACCGGTACCCGAGGTGACGCCTGGGACCCCTGTCACTCTTGCGTCCCTGAGTGCTCAGCTGGACTCTCTGAGGTCGATGACTCGTGAGTACGAAGCAAAGATGCTTAGGTTTGACGAAGCCTGTGCTCAGATTGCCACTGTTGCGTTGTTGGATAGTGGCGCGACACATCCGGTAGTGCCATTTACGGACGGCATGTCCGGGCTCCAAAGGGTGCCGGTTACGCTTGCAGGTGACTCTAGAGAGGAGTGGTACCGTACGAAGGGAGGCACACTGGTTGTTCCACCTACTGAGTCTACCTCTTCTTCGAGTAAACCACAGACAATTATACCTTTGGGAGCTTTAGTTGAGAGCCTTGGTTGTTCAGTGAGTTGGAGCAAGCGGGGTGGACTCAAGGTTCATCATCCTCATTTGGGACTTTTGAAGACTGGTGTCGGGCGAAATACGTGCCCCTTCATACAGGAGGACCAGGCACTTTCCCTCATATCCCAGCTTGAGGACAGGCGTCTTAGTGAGTTCAAAGAGCAGGTGCAAGAACTTGAGGTGCACATGGAGTCCGTCAGTGCACCCGTTGACCCAACAGAGGCACTAAGGAGATACGCTATTACTGGAGGGCGCTCAGAAGCCTTACGCGCTATATTTGCACAGCCGTATTTCGACGGGGTTGATGAATCCTTGAAGGCTAGGCTTGCGGAGGATTTGGTTGGTTTGGATGAGGACTCTGGTAAGCGTATGTTGAAGCAGTTGCCAGTCAACAGGGCCCATCGCCGGAGCTTGCTTGCCTCCGAAAGGTGGGTAGTACATCTGTGTTCGGGAGCTGGTAAGGGCGAGAATCCCTTGAGGACTTGGTGCCAGGACCGGGACATGCAACTCGTTGAGGTTGATGTAATTTCAAAAGGGGGTAAGGGATGGGACTTGATGAAGTCTGATGGCGTCTGGAGGGCGCTGCTTTGGGCGGCTGCTACTGGCCGCATCGTGTGTGTCCTTGCATCCCCCAACCCAAGGTAGAGCGAGTTCGCTCGCGTTCTAGGCCTCCAGCCGCTATTCCTGTGGTCCTTGGCCTCTGTCTCTAAGGGAAGAGGAATCCCTTTTGTGTTTGAAACTCCCCAACCCCTTGAAGCAAAATATTCCACCTTTGCAGATTGGGCAAATGCGTCGCTCCTTCATCTTGACCAGGGAGCCGTTGACCCTGACTTTCCCAGGCGAACGCAGGTATGCACGAACCTGGATCTGTCCTGTATGTGCGTCTTGCCCCTCTCGAGTGAAAAGGGAAGGTCAGGCACAGGCTCGTTTTGGAGTAGAGCGTTTCGGTCTGCGATTGTAGGTGCGCTCGAGGGCAGATACACAGGCCCAAGCTGTGAGGAGCTTGACCAGGTTATTGCACGGGCACTTAAGTCTGGGTCAGTCGAAGCCCAACCGAGTGAGCAAGATGCATCTGAAGTAGTTGGTCCCGAGGAGGCTTCCTATCTTCCCATTTCAGATGAAATTCCACAACCAGACCCAGAGGTCACACCAGCAGCATCCCCAATGCGCCAATTCTCTAAGAAGGAAATAGAGGCTTGGAAACAGCACATTTCCGATGGGCACGTCCCTTATAGGAGGGATTGTAGGCTTTGTGTGGAAGGCGCAGGCGTAGGGATACAACATCGGCGCATTGCTCATCCCCAGTCATTTGCGTTATCGGTTGACCTCTTCGGGCCTGTTCCGAAGCATGAGCATGGCAGGGATGAAACATGTGTTTCCGGAAAAAACAATATAAGGTATGGCCTGGTAGGTGCGTTTCGTGTGCCCAAGAGTGCGATTCAGCATTCCAAGGCTGCGTCAAAGGAGGCTGGAATCGAAGACCTCTTTGGAGTTGAGCAAGAGCGTAACAATGTCGCTCCAGCAAGAACCGTTCCTTCGCACGAGGAGCAGGGTGCTGCACCTGATCAGGATCCGGTTGAGGATCTTGCAGAGTACCAGCCTTCAGAGCTAGGTGAGCCACTTGATGATGAGCTGCGAGCCATGTTGGGTTTAGATGATGAAGAAGGATTTTTTGGTGTGCAGGATTTTCAAACCAGCACTGTTGCAGCCGATGACTTTGAGTCATTACTTGCCCCTCAGGTACTACCTGAGGATCCTGAGGAACTTCAGGGAATGATTGATGAGTTGAGAAGACCAGTTGATCAGATAGTACTAAGGTACTTTGTTCCTTTGAGATCCAAGACCGGACAAGATGTTCTTGAGGGCTTGCAGAAGTTAGTGTTGGATATTAATAAACGTTACCCAGTAAAGATCCTTCATAGTGACCCGGGTACCGAGTTTTCGTCTTATGCTCTCTCAAGGTGGGCTGCGTCGCAGGGTATTCGAGTGCAGCATACCCTACCTACTGAGGGGAATGGTTTGGCTGAGCGTATAGTTGGATGGGTGAAGAGTAGAGTGCGCACACTCCTCAAGGCCGCGTCTCTACCAATTCATTGGTGGCCTTTAGCAGCAAGGTGGGCAGCACAGGCGCATAACAGGTCTGTTGAAGGGCAGCCACCTCTCCCAAGCTTCGGCCAGCGTGTACTTCATCGCACGAAAACACCGAAGGATGCAGATCGACAGATCCTTGGAAGATGGGTGAGGTACAGGTATGCAGCACCTCATTCATCTATCCCTGAGGGCCACGTCTTGATAACAGACTCCGGGAACCTAGTTGCCTCTAAGGGGTTTCGGGATAAGGTTGTGAATCCAATTGAGTATGATGAACTTAGGTTGCCAGATCTTGAGGCTGTGGACGAGAAGTTAGAAGGGTTACCGCCCGAAGACTCAGGAGGAGCACCCCAGCGAAGACTGAGGAGCAAAACGGCAATCATGTTTGTTGAGGTCCCTCTTGGAAGCACTTCGGAGAGTTATTCCAGGGAGTGCATTATGAAGGAGGACTTCTCGGATGGCGCATTTCATACCCTCATGAGTCTCCTACTCACTGAGGAGGGAGGAACTCAGGACAGAAGAGGGGACATGCAGGACCGTCTTGTCTTCGGTGCATATTGCCATGGGGGAAGGAGGGGAGTTACCAAGATTACATATAGGAGACCCTTTACCGCGCAGTTTCTAAATCAGGTGTTGATGAAGGGATTGTGCCAAGGGAATGGTCTTCTAGACCCAAGGTGGACGTCTTTGATGTTGATGAGATCAGGGGACGTCCCAGTTCACCGGGATTATAGAAATGAATGGGGCTCTAGGAATCACGTCTTGAGTATTCCGGGTAGGTTGCTCTTGTGGACTGACAATGACTTCGACCCGTCGAGGAAAACTAAGATTGTGAGTGATCCTGATTGGAACTCCAACAGTGTTACTACGATCTCAGGTAACACTGTTACCTTTGATCCTCGAATGCCTCACGCTGTTCGGAAGCAACCTGAATGGGTACTAATTGGTTACACCCCTTTAGGTGCAAGGAAGCTGTCAGATGATGCAATGGATTATCTTTGTGCAAGAGGGTTTATCCTGCCGGAAGTACCTTGCGATGAGCAGAGGGTCGCTGCGCTCCGTGTTGATGGTGAAGAATCCACTGTCAGTAGTGAAGAAGCTGACTCGCATGATGAGGAGGCTGCATCTTCCACACCAATGCCTACACATTTGGAGCAGGATGTCCAGCCGGACTCCTCGACCATGCTGGTTGGATGGGATTTTTCTAGAGGTGATCCAGCTGAGTTCCCGGTTGATAGTCTAAGGGATGGTGACTTGGGTGTGTACCTTGAGGAAAGGGGAATGAAGTGTGAGCTTGGCCGCCTAAACTTCCTTGGTGTCGATGATCCTGAAGATCTTCAGTACCTTTATGAGGAGGACCTCATCGAGATGGGAATGCCAAGGATTCATGCTCAACGGATCCTCTTTGGGATTCATCCTGAAGGCACTAGGAGGCCTGATAACCCGAATGTGAGCGGGCTCCAGACGGGCGAGGTCAGGTTGCTAAGCCGTGAGCACATGTTTATACCTCGTGTTATTCAGAATAGGACTCTAGACCCGAATTGGTCAGGTGGACCTCCAATCGAGGGTTTAGGTATAAGAGAGGTTCAAGATACACCTAGAGACCACAATGCAAGGGCCAGTGATGATGTTGAGCATCGGGACCAATCCTCGAGCTCTGACTTTAGGCCTCAGGCGTTTGCGGGTGCTCAAGAGGCATGTGCGGATCCTGGGTTTTGGGAGGATGAGTGGGTTAGTCCATTTGAAGAGTTAGGAGTTTATCCATCGGAATCATCCACACAGGTCACAGGTGCCCCAGCACTCACAGGTGCCGAAGGTCAG